GGGGGGGGGGGGGGGGGGGGGGGGGGGGGGGGTTGGTTGCGAGATGTTCTCTCTGCCCGACTCGGCCAGTGCAGACAGGTGCCTACTCATATGAGACAGGCTGGGCCGAAAGCGCACTTGTGGTGTCCGCCAGCGACGAAGATCAGCGGCGGAAAGAGCAGTGTTCCCGCGCAGCAGGAAAAAGCTGTGCTTCGTGTCGCGTCAGCAAGTAGGAGGGAGGGGTCGACTCCAGATTAGAAGAGACAGTGTGTGTCGTGGTGCGCATGTGTGTCTTGGGGGCAGGGTGTGGAGCGGGCCGCACAACGCAGTGAGTGCGTGGGTGCAGTAAGTCTGCTGGACATGGTGACTGGACTGGAGTAAGTCGAATGAACGGTGGACCAAAAATACGCACCCACGCACGCAGTCAGTAGTAGTGAGTCGACCGTGGACCAAAAATACGCACGCACGCACGCAGCACCAGTGCACCAGCCGACGGCCGTTGGGGTTGAGCTGATCGCCGATGAACGACAAGACGGGCGCCACACTCGCCCCGGCCCCATCCGGCGATGAGATCCGGTCCACACCGTCAGGCACGGCCCCGGCATCATACGTACGTCGGTGTGACGAAGGGGAGGTCGCGGTCGCCTCCCTCGAAATCGCCGGGGTTGTCGACAGGCGCTCAGATAGTCAGGCCAGTCGCCCCACCTGCTGCCGTCCCTCACTAGACACAGGGCAACGAACAGGATGTTGGCCTCGCGACGCACGTCGATGGCCAGCCTCCCTCCTGGTGGAGCTGCGCGAGCCAGCGAACTCCGCATGTGGGCTGGGCTTCGTGTGTGGGCTGCTGTGAGCAGCGGGTCTGCCGGATGGCCTCGCCCGCTGCTCACTTGACCGACGGGTCTGCCGGATGGCCTCGCCCGCTGCTCACTTGACCGACGGGTCTGCCGGATGGCCTCGCCCGTCGATCGCCGAGTGAGCAACGGGTCTGCCGGATGGCCTCGCCCGCCGCTCACTCGACCAACGGGTCTGCCGGATGGCCTCGCCCGTCCCTCGCCGAGTGAGCAGCGGGTCTGCCGGATGGCCTCGCCCGCCGCTCACTCGACCAACGGGTCTGCCGGATGGCCTCGCCCGTCCCTCGCCGAGTGCCCAAGGCCCACATGCGAAGGCCGCCGTCAAGCGACCAACTCTCACCTGTAGGTCGAACACATACAGACAGAAGTGAGTGAGGTGCATTGTCTGCGGCGTATCAGAGCTCGCCCATTCCCAATCCCTCACCAGTAAGTGTGTGGGTGGGGTGGCCGTGGTGTCGTCCATGGGCATGACGATTGTCGTCTCCACCATGTCCCTTTTGGCCATTTCCCTCTTGACCCACTCACGGAACGTCGATATGTTGCCGAACTCATACACCGGCCCCTCGGCAGCAGATTGGGTGGCCACACTCGTCCCCCTGGTGGACGTCCTCGAGCGTGGCGCCGTGGTGGTCCCGTCGGCTGCCTCGAGCAGGTCGCCACCTGTGTGTGACGATGGGCTCGGGAGGGGTGTGGACGAGGGGGTGGCGCTGCGGACACGGCGAGTGCTCGGGGGTGCGTCTGCGGCTGAACTGGCGCCCTTTCTGAGGGGACTGCTGCCGATTGCTGCTGTGGGCTCGACCCTCGACACACAGCTGGAGCTGAGCAGGGAAATAGACAGACAGCAGAAAGGCATGTTGATGCACCCAGACGCTGCTGCTCTGGGTGGGGGTGATGGTCGAGTAGGCCAGCGAGAGGGCGGGGGAGGGGAGGAGGGAGGTCCGCTGGGTGCCGGTCGGCTGCACCTGGGGCACTGGGACGTCAGGCAACGCCGTGGTGTCGTCCTGTAGCTGCTTTGCCGTGGTCGCTAGGTCCTGCTGTTGCTCGGGGCGGGCATCTTGGTAGCGAATGAAGTCAGCTGGCACCTGCTGCTGTGGCCCATCCTGCTTGGGCAAGACCCATGAGGGCACCAGCATGCCGCAGAGAAAGGGCGCGGGCATCTCCACGAGCTCGGATCTCTCGCTGGGGATGAGGGGCAGGTACGGGTGGTGCCACTCGAAGGGAAATAGTAGCTGCAGGAAGATCTCTGCCAGGTAGGTCAGGAGGGAGGCCCGCCGCGAGAGCATCAACACCTTCCGCTAAAGCGGCAGCAGGGTGAAGACGTTGACGATGCGGTCCAGCTTCAGACACGCGAACAGCGCCCGATAGCTCAGCTCCCGGCCGCCGCTGCTGCACCCGCCCGGCAGATCTATCGCCCGCAGGTGTGTGTCACCGATGCCAATGTGCAGCTTGACCGACGGCCGGGCCAATCCAGCACCGCTAAGGTCGCCGAGGAGACGGCCGATGGTGCTCTCAATAGCAGCAGAAGAGTGGTCACTCGACGGGCTGGGCCGGGTGGGTGTCTTGAGCAGATGCCGCAGAAAGGACATCTTGGCGGTCCTCTGCTGCAGCTGGTAGAGCTCATAGAGGACACTCTTGAGGGAGCTGATCAGCGGCTGCCGCGTCATGAAGCACAGGCACGTCGGCACATAGACGATGGAGGCACCCGCAGGGCTGTCTCGACTGTAATCCTCAAGGTCGGCCTCGTCGAGCCCGTCGTCCGTCACTGCGACCACGCTGTCGATCAGGCCGCTGCTCTGCATCTCGCCATGGTCGATATCCCACGGCCACGCCCGCGGCTCCCACACCATCAGGCAGCACACGTAGGCCCGCCGGGACAGTCCCCATAGCACCGTCGAAAAGAAGACAGGACCGGGGCAGCCCTGCTCTTCGCGATAGAGCCACAGCCCCTCTGGCGGGCAGAATGACGTGAGTGTCTGCTGCATGGCCGCACTGGGCGAGCTGTCCTTGCGGCTGCTGGGCGAGGAGGGCCCGCCCAGGCCGGCAGACAGGAGGGAGTGAGGGGACGTGGCGGGGCTGTGTGACGGATACCACTCGACAATCTGGCCCTTCAGGGGCGTCAGGAATGCCTCTTGCGGACCCCTCGATAGATGATCCTTCAACACGGAGTCCTCCACACCTGCATGAACCAGACAAACGAAGACAAGCGCAATATTGGCTGCTGCCAAGATGTGATAGCGTTCGTGCTTGTGCTGACCGATGCGGAAGAAGACGTCTGCGATGTGTATATGCGACTCAGAATCGGAAGCGGCGCTTGGCCGCCTCCTCGTTCCTCCTTTCCAGCTCCTGCCGCCTCGCCCTCGCCTCCTCCTGGTGCTGTTGCTGCCGCTTCGATAGCTTGAAGGCCGCCTGGGGGACTGGGGGGGCGGATTTCTGGTTGGCGGCAGCGGCTGCAGGGCCTTTAGGAAACGGCACTGGCCGCTTCGCCTGCTGTTGCTGCTGCACGGGCCGCGCAGAAATCCGAGGGGCGGGGTAACGGGGCTGCGGCTTGCTTGGCGGCTTGGGTGGGGGGTGCTTGTGCGCCGCGTTGGTGTTGCCTCTATCACCAACCGCCCCCAGCCCATGGCCCCCCTGGGTGCTGGCCTCCTCCTGCTTGCTCGTCGGCTGGTGCTGGTGTGGGCGGGTTGACGGCTGACGCAGAGGGCTATCGGGGTGTGACGAGTGTGTGTGGGGCGGCATAGTGGTGGGACAGCCAGTGGGCAGAAGGGACAGGGCGGTGAGAAGATCCGCCCGGATGTCCTCGAAAGTGCCCCTGTCCCCCTGCCGAGGACTCAGAGCCCTCCTCGCAGCCCTGCAGAACGCGTTAATCCCTTGAAGTTGTCCCGCAGCTGGACTATCCGAAGGAATACGGGCGACTCGGTCGGCTGGCCCTCGGCGTCCATAAGGGCGTCGTAGTGGGCCTCCCACTCGAGCGCCATTAGCGCTGCGTATTTCCGCAGCAGCTCCTCGTCCTTCCTCGCCGTGTCCGTCTCCTCCCGCATGACGACCCCTGTGATGGGGCTTGCCCGCAGCACCTGGTGCAGCGTCATGCCGAAGGCGAACACGGGAGCTGGTGGCCCCATCCACACGGCCTCGCAGTTGCCGTCTCCTACCAGCACGCCCTCGGCCCGCAGCTGCCGGCGAGTCCTCCCCAGTCCCGTGGCGGTGCGCTCTTGGATGGCCGATGCGCCGGCGGGAGGGCCCAACGCCGCCACCAGCTCCGGGGCCCGGTTCCATCTGCCGCCGTTCGGCATCTGCCCTCTTGCCATCCTCTCAGCCCTCTCGGTCGGCACCAAGACGGCCTTGTCGCCCAGAAAGGTGGGCGGTGCGGGTGAAGGCCCGTTGCTTGGTGTGGATGGGGGCCTGGGTGGATTGGTGGCCAGGGAGTTGGCGAGATCGATGAAGTGAACATCATTGACGGAAAGGGCGGCGCCTGGGCGGAGCGCCGACCGCCTCAGCATGACGTTCCCCATCGCCCCATCCAGGTGGAGCACCCCCTGGCCAACCGCTGCAATGTGGGCCTCACAGGCGAGGATGAGGGCGCGGGTGATGACCTCCACTGTGTCAGTGAAGGCTGCTTTCGCCTCCTCAGTGAAGCCCTCGTCCTCCAGCCGCACAATCGCTTGGTACAAATTGTGGATCCTGTCTCCTTCGTGCGGCTGGGCCCACCCAAAGAGGCGGCTCATCTCAACCCACTCGTTGGCTGCATGCATGACACACAGGAAGCACAGGTGACATGAACAATCCTGCGTTCCCTCTCTCCCCGCCCTCCTTCTTTGTGTCTTACCATGCAAGAGGGGGGTGGCTATGCACAGCGCCTCCTTGGGCAGCCCCTTGGTGTTGGTATAGGTCAGGGGCTGGTCCTCGTTTGTGTGGGCCGCCAGGAGGGGAAGGAAAGGGGGAGCACCGCCAAGACGCTGCAAGCGGTCCACCTCCACCTGCAGCTCCTTGATAGTGTCCTCCCTGTCCTCCTTGTCCGTCAAGCTGCCCAGCACGACAATCTTGATGGCCGCCTCCTCACCCTGGCCGTGCCCCTCTGGTGCCGGCTCGATGAATCCCCTCAGCACAGTGCCAGTTGCGCCTTTCCCGATGGTGGCCGCCTTGGGGTCCTCCCACACGGTCGACCGCCCGTCGGCCCAGCTGAGAACAGCTGGCCGCCTGTGTGGTTCTGTGGGTGGGGCGTCGACCGGACTAGTGTCGGTCAAGTCCGATGAGTCGGTCGGCTGGGATGGTGCCGCCTGTTGCGGAGGTGGCGACGTAACTCCTGCATCCTCCTTGATGACAGCAGACCGAAGGAAGCTCTCGGGGCTGCTCACATCGTCGCTGCCGTCCGCCTCCGTCTCCATCTCACTCACACGACCGTTGACACTACTCTTGGACGCGACACCACCCGTGGCAGCAGCAGACGGGTCAACGTGCGATGATTGGTTGGGGGGTCGGTAGATAGGGGGCAGCAGGCTGGGGCGTTGGCAACCTCCTGCGATTGGGCGTCCTTGTACGCGTCGCCGAGGCAGCGATCCATCTCCTGGCCCTCCCGACTCGGACACTCGACGTCACCGTCGTGCCGCTCCTCCGCCTGGTGATGGTCCATCCCCTCACCAATGCCTCCGTCCATCCCACCGCCGTCTCTCTTGGCCTGGGGCGAGGACATGGGCGGCTGACGGAATGGGGACGGCCCCATTGGCTCGATGGGCGACCGTGGGAAGTAGGTGTTGCGTCCGGGGAGGGAGGAGGGATCGTCCAGTGGGTTGTGGTGGTGGTTGGGGCTGGGGTAGGCGTAGTCTGGCACACTCAGGGTGGCCTTGGGCGAGCCGTAACCGCGGTTCGAGTCCTGGCCCGGCGGGCCCTTCGATGACGACTCAAAGAACGCATCCCCATCACC